CAGCACCCTGCCCTCCCCATCTTTTGAGCCAGTCTCACTATGTTGCCAAGTCTCACTTCAAAATTTCCATTCTCCTGCTTCAGCCTCCCAAGTTGCTGGAAGTTATAGGTGTGCATTACCAAACCCATCTTATAGTTTAGACCCTGAATGTCCTCTTAAGATCCATGTGTTAAAGTCTTGGTTCTTGACTCATGGTGCCACTGGAAGACAGTAGAACCTCTTGGAGGTGGAGGAAGTTAGGTCACTGAGAACGTGTCCTTGAAAGGGATAGTGGACCCAGGCTCCCCAACCAACCATGGATTGAAACCCCTATAACTGTGAACCAAAATAAACCTTTCCTCTTTATTAAACTGATTACCCCAGGTGATTGTGACAGTAACGGAAAGCTGAATAACACACCAGCCCAAGGCCCTGCCTCTGAATATTAACACACTGGAAAATTAGTTTCAGTATATTAATTTTGAGAGACACATTAAGACACAGGAGTGTGGCCCAACAAGGACTGTTTGGGATAATTTTACCAGGAAGCACAGGATGTTTCGGTTATTTTTGCCAAGTCTATACCAGCTTTAGGGGTACTCCTCCTCACTTAGTGTAAGTTCCAACACCACTTAAGAATGTGTTTTGCTCTGTACGTGTCCCTTACACATAACAGGCCTTTGGAAATTCTTCTTGAATGAGTAGACGAATAGCCACAAAACCAAACAGAGGCACAAATAGGGACACAGGTCCATGGGGACATCTGGTCCCTGAGCTTACTCTTTATTTTCCATATTTCCAGTTCACTTTGCAATTTCCTCTCTTGCAAAAGCTTACCTTTGAAATGTAAGTTTTTTAAAATTTTTTATTTCTTACATACATGACAATAGTGGAATGCATTACAATTGTAATTATCCATTCAAAGCACAATTTTTCGTTAACTGTATATAAAGTATGTTCACGCCAAATTATGCCATGATACATGAGCTCTTATTTTTTTTTTGCATTACAATTCTTGATACACCTTTATACCACAATTTATCATATCTCTATATGTATATAAGGTATGTTGACACCAAACTCACATCTTCATACATGTATTTTGTCTAATGATGACCCTCTCCTTCCACCATCCATACTATTCCTCTTCTCCCTCCCCTTCCCTCCCACCCCTATTCCCTATCTAGAGGTAATCTTCCTCCCTTGCTCTCCCTCCCAATCTCATTTTGAGTCACCCTTCTTATATCAGAGAAGACATTTGGCATTTGTTTTTTTGGGGATTGGCTAACTTCACTTAGCATAATCTGCTCTAATGCGATCCATTTCCCTGCAAATGCCATGATCTTATTCTTATTTTTAGTGCTGAGTAATATTCCATTGTGTATAAACGCCACATTTTTTTTTATTATTCACTCATCCACTGAAGGACATCTAGGTTGGCGCCACAGTTTAGCTATTGTGAATTGTGCTGCTATAAACATTGATGTGGCTGTGTCCCTGTAGGATGCTGTTTTTAGGTCCTTTGGGTATAGTGCAAGAAGAGGAATAGCTGGGTCAAATGGTGGTTCCATTCCAGCTTTCCAAGGAATCTCCATACTGCTTTCCAAATTGGCTGCCCTAATTTGCAGTCCCACCAGCAGTGTATGAGTATACCTTCCCCCCCCCCCCATCCTCGCCAGCGCTTCTTGTTGTTTGTCTTGGTTCCAATGTGTTGCTACAGAGGGTACCCCACCTGGCTTCTACTCACAGGCAGCCTTTGCCAGCATGTCAAGAGGGGAGCATGAGCCTCAACCTAGCCAAGTCTACACTTACAGTGCTCTCAATTATGAAAGCTCAAGCAGCATTTAAAATCCAAATCTTTATAACCAAGGAAAAAGTCAGGAGGGACTACTCAGAATGATTGTCAATACAGCTCTGTACTGATCAATATCAGACCTAGTTGAGTGTTCCTTCTTATTTGTGGTGCTAAGGATGGCACTCAGGCCTCATGCATATTAGGCATGTGCTTTACCTAAGCTACATCCCAAGTCCCTGCTTTTTAAAATATAATAAGGCATATCCATGATTCACTAGTGTCTGTGCAGTTTCCATTGGGTTGTTTGCCCAAAGGTCAGAAAATTCATTGCTTTGTAAACCTTAGGCACGAAGAGTAAATTGGACTAGGTCAAGTGAGTTCACAGCCACTGTGACCTTCTGAGAAAGGAGGCAACACCTGACCCAGAACTATGTAAGAATGAATGAATGCATTCTTTCCTTCCATAAAGAACTGAGGGTATCTTTGACATTTGTCTGTTTTCTTTTTGCCGTGAAAATATAGATATCACATTGACTGGGGCAAAAACTCCATGCAAGACTAGCAAGGGAAGGTCAGTTGGAGGAGCTCATGGGATGTAATGACAGTATGAGCTTCTAAAACATCGTTATTTCAGATAGAGCTACATTTCAGATAGAATTAAATAATGCATATGATTGTAACAAAATTACGCAATAACTAATTTTGCAGTAGATGTTGTGTCAATTTAACAAATACATATTCTTGTGTGCAAAGTTATTATACTAGAAGAGGAATGTTTAATGGAAAATTGATAAGCAACTTTTATGCTAAGAAGGCTAAAAGTGACCCTAACCCCAAATAAAAACAGATTATACTAAGATAACAGTAAGGAAGGAACAAATTGCTATTCAGAATCCAAGGAAAGAAATGACAACAGCTGGAAGGGAACAAGAAAAACTTCTACCTGAAGGTGAAGTACAGGTAGAAAAAACAGAAAACGTTTTTAACTTGAGTGTTAGGTGAACTTAGCTCTAAGTCTGGAACTAAAAACTAGAACCAGACTGAATCACCTCAGATCTCACTCTGAAGCAAACTTTAAAAATATATATATATAATTTCTAGGGCTGCCCTAACGAAGAACCACAAATTGGGTGGCCTAAACAATAGAAATTATCTCTCAGTTCTGGAGACTTGATGTCTGAGATGAAGGTGTCAGCAAGGTCGGTTCTAGACCTTTCTCCAAGCTTCTAATGGTTTGTGTTGCATTTCATGACTTGGAGATACCCAATCTGTGGCTTCATGTTGGGATGGTATTCTCCCAGTACGTGTCTGTCAATCCCCTTCCCATTTTTTTTTCCCCTTTAGTTGTAGTTGGACACAATACCTTTATTTTATTTATATTTATGTAGTGCTGAGGATGGAACCTAGTGCCTCACACATTCTAGGCCAACTCTGAGCTAAAATCCAAGCCCTAATTTTTCCCTTTTGATAAGGATACCAGTCATCCTGGATTAGGGCCCACCATAATATCTGCATTTTAACTTCATTATTCCTGTAAAGACTGTCTCCAAATAAGGTCATATTCTAAAATACAGGCTAAGGTTGCAGGGGGAGTGGTGATCTGATATAGGAGCATGTGGGGACACAAAATGGGAAGCCTACCAATCGCTTGGGAGAGTAAGAATAGTTTTTGCTTGAGCCAACGGCCTCTGGGTTATGAATCCCTTTCTATTCTTTTTCTGGCTACCCAGCTGTGCAGGTAGTAAAAAGTGACTTACTTGGGAGGCAATACAGATAGCACCAGTGTGATCTTCAGAATCATACTATTTAGGTTAGCAACCTTGCGCTAACACCTACTAGCTGTGACCTTGGCAAGTTACTGGCATCTCCAAGGACTCTATTCACCTCCTTGGTAAAATAGGAATAACTCATAGAAATGTGGTGGTGTTATAATGAAATGTAAAGTCCATAGTGCTTCATAAATTCTGGCCATTGTTATTATTCACGGAACTGGCTTTACCTTCAGTGGACCTAAATAATTTCCACAAGGGTTGACTCATACTGCTTTTACCAAAAAGTCAGATATGAACATGCTAAAAAAATTCTAGGAAAGCTTTGTGTGAAAACCAAGAACTATATCTACTCACCTCAACATTCTGAACCTCCATTCTGTAGCCATTTTACAGCTTTTGATAAAGGTTTCAGGGAGTAGATAGATGCTCTGGCTATCTTGACCTTTGTTTTGAGATTTCGAACACATTATCTGGGAATTTCATTCCTCTAGTGGTAGACTTTCATATAGAGAACTACTACACAACCCAATCACTCACTCCCAGCAGTAAAGTTAGACCTATTTATGTGGTGGCTTTAGCTTGATTTGTTTTGGCTCTTTTGGAATACCTACTTGTTTTATGTGTACCTTTTAAGGCTGGATATTTATTGATAGAAGTGTTTTTATTAAGTGCAAAATAATACTGAACTATAAATTGACAAAGCATAATTTATCCCCCAATTTTCTTGCAGATGCTTTAGAGTTAGATAAAGTACAGGTAGAAAAGAACAGAAAACGTTTTTAATTTGAGTATTTGAGTATTAAGTAACCTTCGTAAAAAAGTACAATGGGAAAAATGTGTGGCTTGTCATCTCAATATTAGGCTTACTGTAAAGTTAGTGAGCTTTCATGGAACTCAGTTACTGGTTATCTGAACACAAAATGCATAAAAGGCAGACATTTATGAAGCACTTCCTTGAACACCCGAACAGCTATCACAATATGCTATCATGCCCAGCTTGTGTTCTCAAAAAATTGCCCCTGGGCTTATTAACTGTGTGATGCTGGGTTACTATTTCACTGGTAATTAGTCTTCCACCAGGCAAATGCTTACTGCTGCATTCTAGTTTCCAAGAAAGGAGAGAGGAGACCTGTGTTCTAAAACATCTAAGACTGATATGCTAGGCAATAACAAAACCTAACAGCCTTTTTAAATTATGCAAGTGCTAGCTGAAACAGCCAATTCCCACTACCTCTTTGTTCCAAATTACTCCTTCGTGGTAGAAGGTTCTTTTTTTATCTGGTAGAAAAATTCTCAACCCTAAATTTCCATGTCTTAATACACACACAAAAAAAGAGTCACTTCCTAAAATCTATCTCTCTTTCCAAAACTCAACAGAACTCATCACTAATATTTTTCTCCCTCATGGTAAATCTAACATGAGTAAATTTAGAGTCTAAAAAAACAAAAATTCATTTTGCACCACTAGTTGTATTTTATTACATAACAGCAAGAGGCAAGTTACCTGCAAATAATAACTGCTTCAGAGCTATATTCTCTAATTAAACACATTTATTTTTTCACTTGGAGAATCATTCCATAAAAAACGTTTTATTTTACATTACAAAAAAAGAAATATGTGTGTGTATATATATTTACAAGGAACAAAGGCAGCGGCATTATTTTTCTAGTTATAACTTACAGTAAAAGGAAATACAAAAATACTTTCTATAGTCATATAAATACTTTCTATAGTCATACTTTCTTAAACTATCAAATAAATACATTTAGTAACAATCTACTGCTACTACAGTGTGGCTACAACTGTGAAATAACTAAAATTTAACATCAGACTCGTGGATTTACAATACTGTATTTTTTCACTGATTTCTTCATCCGCTTAATTTTCTTCTTTAACACTTGATGATCTTGTTTTAAAATATACCGAAAATATCTACAACCTAAAAAATAAAATGAGCAAAAAATTTTAATACTTATCATTCAAATTTTTAAAGTACATGTGTACAGTTTGAAATTTTTGCTTCAACTCTATATATACCAGTATGGCCCACACATATTCTAAGAGCTGCCACCAATGAAATGTATTACTTCATAAAGATGTTTTTGATCCATTATAATTAAGGCATATATTTTAGCTTTTTTCCTTCTCTTTCCCCAAACCCTATAGTGATATACACATTATTATGTGTATTCATACATTAAAGGAACACTCTCCAAGATCAAATTAGTACTACTTCCCTCTCAACTGTAGCTTCTAAGTCAACAAAAGAAGCATTTATCACAGTCAGAAAAAGGTAAACAAACTACAAAATACACCTCTTTGTAAAGAGAGCTTAACTAGCAAAGCAACCAAATAGCTGAATTTCAACCAGAAAAGGTCCCTCCACAGAGCAAGGGGCCCATCTTGTTTCTCATACAGCATGGGGAGAAAGCTAACATACCCCATTCTAAGCACAAAGCAAAAGCAGACCACAAGCAGAATTTGAGTACTGTGGTGTAATGATGATAACCAGAACAAGAGGGAAAAAAAGCTCAGCTTTTGAATAGATTCACTCTCTCCACACTAACACCCAGACAGGAGAGATGTGCCCATTTTCAGGCATAACAACACCTGATATTCCTAGACAACTTCAGAATTCATAAAGCCCTTTGATGTGATGTTCACTTGATATTTCACAAAGGACAATCCCAGTGTCCAAATCCCTTTGGAAAATCCCAAAGGTTAATTGCTTGATCCAAGTCACATGACGAGTAGAAAATGAGAAAGTTAGTCCAGGTCTTTGGACTCCAAATTCATAAAGTAGAAGAAGATAACAATCTAAATAACATTTATGTTCCTTTTCATCCATGCATTAAAAATTCATTTTAAAATTACTTTCTAAAGCCCTTTCTTCCTATAAAACTAGTTTTTTATTAATTTTAGTAACCATCTGAAACATATATTAAGGATACATTGTTGAAAACAATATAAACCATAATTCAAAGTGAACTGAAGAATCTCTTTAGGACACCTTAAACTCCCTAGCAAAATATATCTTACTAGTTGTCATCATACACATCATTTCTGTACATTTTGTAGCAGTTTCATTTCAGTACTGGGTAACTTTTAATATTTCAGTAGTACAAAGCCGGTACGAGTTTTATTGGCCAAAATATTCCATAAAGAAACAATCAATTTCTCATTCCTTTTAAGAGGACTATTTGATAAGTTAATGGGAGGTATTCTTAAGGAGAATTTTTCTCCTTACAGGAACATTTAAGTGTATATAATACAGATCTAGTAAAGAACAATGAGGTATGAAAGAACATTCTTGATTAGTAGACAGTCTCAGTAAACTTATGCAACAAGGCCAAGCAGTCAGTGATTGTGAAACAGTCTTGCATGGTGCATCTTAATGCCCCCAACAACACCCAAGTCAGAGCATGAGAAATAATCACAATCAACAACATGAAAGCACTGTTTCTAACCCTAGGGGATTCCTTATAAGCACATTACCAGTTCCCAACTCATGATCCACTCTTTTTTTTTTT